GGTCCTACATGAAGCACCACTACCTGCTTAGACCGAATAACGGGACAAAACGAACCGGGAAGCAGACAAGATTACCACGACAAACCAAAATACCCCAAGAACGGAGAAAATTACATAAAAAATGGGATGTGTCATTTTCTTTGTTTATGGGATGTGTCATTTAATTTGTTAAGACTAATACGCCTTCCTTTCCTTGTCCTTTCGCTAACGTTTTCTTAAATACCATAACAAATCTACCATATCCATAGTAAAAGAACGGAACCATACAGTAGGCCCGCAAAACGGAATACCCCAGCAACGGGGATCAAGCCTGCGTAGTAGTAGTATTTCGTTTGGTGTGTGCTATATGGAGATTGAAAAATGGGATTCGAAAATAATATATATCATCTAGGATTTATTTCCCCCTGTTTTGTTTTGTTGTATTTGGCTGTTCCCTTCCTCTTTTCTTTGCCTCTTTGCCCTTTGGCTGTGTGCAAGTGGGTCGATATGACACACGGGGGTGGGGGCAGCCGCCGCTCAACCCACATCGAGGTGAGCGGCCTTGCACGCAGGAGTTTTTTTTTTTTTTTTTTTTTAAGGCTAACTCTTTAAGCCCAACCAATTCAATTACCTGTCAAATCTGGACAGGACGGTCTTTCAGGCCTTTTCTTTTATTGTCATTATAGTATTACGGGGAACCCCGTAGCAGCCACATCCGTTCTCAAGCGTCCAACGAGGGAACATGCGGGAGCTGCACCCACCAGCAGGTGCGATACCTGCCACAACAGGTGTGGCAGGTAGGCGATACCGGCCAGGGGTCAGCCCGTAGCATCAGGACCGAGCTTCTTCGATGGGCCAGTCACTGTGCCTCCCCTCAGGTGGTGGTCCCCTCCCCCTATGAACATCAGCAGTCTCTGCTCAATGCCACTCGGGGGGACCAACGGCATATCTCTAGGTCGCGGGCGCCAAGCTTGCCCAGGAAGGAGGTACATGAGGCCAACGAGGATTGAACCCAAGATCTCCTGAATGCCATTTGCATGCCTTACCAACTGCGCTAGGCCGCTGGATTACGCAAGAGGTTTTGAACAAGGGGAGTTGTAAGTAAGAAGATGAAAAATGAATTGATTTTTCCTTATGTTTTTTCGCTTTTGCGCTCTCACATCTTTGTGACAATATATGCAGACAATTTTTTGAGTGCTATCACCAAGCCAACTTCAAGCCAAAAAAAAAAGGTAAGAAGGACATGCATACCTCACACTGCCCTCCCTCCCCCATGTGCCGGTCTGTAAACGGGGGGAACCTTGTGGTGGTCCCCCCCCACAAGACGAGATTGCGTCGATCATTGAGTGCGGCCGAGCCAATGAGCTCTCGCAAGGACTTGTCTCAGGCGATCAAATAAGTCGAATGATCGAGAATGAAAATCGAGAGGCAATCTCTCTCTCTCTTTCTCTTTTTTTTTTTTTTTTTTTTTTTTGGTGTACAATTTTTTTCTCGACCTATGCGTGTCATCCTTGATTGCGCAGGGGCCATTTTGCTAATTACCCTTTCTCTGTATCGTTCCAATTATAACGGACGCTCGCATGGCCAGACTACGTCTGAACAGAATGATCGCGTGTGCGACCGCTCGCGCAAAGGCCGTGCGCAGCGGGGCCATGTCATTTTTCTCTCGATTTATGCGTGTCATCCTTGCGAAGGGGCCATGCTACTCTTAACGGGTGCTAGGGAATGACCGAGTGTGCGACCGCTCGCGCAGGGGTCATCCTCTTGCGTTTGACATTTCAGTGGTTATACCTACTCATTAAGCAAGACGACAATCGCAGGATGGACCTCGTGCGTGACACAGCCCGAGAGAAAGTGTGTGTGTGTGATATGTAGAGGTGAAGAGGAGTAAGATGACCTCTGTACAAACAAAAAAAAAAAAAAAAAAAAAAAAAAAAAAAGGCGACCTGTGGACAAGGATGAGTAACACGAACTCACACTTGCACGGACACAAGCAGGCAACAATGAACCAAGATCCGAAAGAATGAATGGATCAGTTAAATATCAGATCTGCGGGAAAAAAAAAAACACAAAAAAACAAAAAAAAGAACAAGAATAGAGTG